TTTGTGAGAGTGGTTGCGTCTGTTAAAACGTGTTGCCTACCAAATGATTGTACTTCATGTAAGTAAAGCTTAGATTTTAATGGGTATTTTCGTCAAGCTTTATAAAACCAGCCTATTACATGTGACGAATAACAGGTGATTAACAAGACTGGTATTCTGGTAGGTACATGGTTGCAACAATTCTATGCGGTACTTTATATATACACTGCTAGATTTCCATTCTAGTTTTCGTCAACTATATTTCGTGCATCACATCGCTGCAGCGCTCTGTACAGAACCACGGCTACTGGCCACGTCGATAACCAGGAAAATACCCAGCAACAGATATTTTGATACGGAATGCATGATTAATGGAAAAGATTTGAAAGAGAGGAAAAATTAGATGCATTTAGACAGTCCGACTATCCAGGAATATTCTGAGCTCTAATAGATCTGCTAGCGTTGCACAAAAACTGGCGAAGTTCGCACGCTGGTGAGACCTGTTAACAGGTGGTTTGCTTTATGCTCTTATAATCTTTAATTACAATTTCATCATCGCAGGCCTGCTTATTATACAGCCTTTTACAGAATTTGTCTTTCGAAAAAACTGTACGTTAATATTAAGATTCTTCAGATAAATTCTCTATCAGATGCAATCTTCCTGTCAATTTCTGTCAGAAACTGAAGTCCAGCTGGGGATGCTTATGTAATGATAAGGCATATTATAGCAGTAAAAACATTTCGTATATTCTACAAATCAAGTTGGGAATTAGTCTCTATCATTAGTATTAATTTGATATTTTTTCGAATGCCTTGTCATTCACGTACCTTATGTGGTTTTTCCTTTAGGAATTTTAGCTAATAATACCCCCAACTAATTTGCCTTATTAAACTTTCTTTTAGCTTCCCCAAAGAGAGGTATTTCGTTCATGACTACATACTCAGGCCCGTCTTTAAGGATAAAAACAATTTTGCATTTGGCAATATTGATAGAAACGTTTAAACATCGACACCAGTCCTTTATTAAATTTCTGTTTTAGTTTTCAGTAAAGAAATTTCGGATTTATGGATTTAGTTTGTTATTTCGGTACCATCTGCATATCACGCAATGCGATTAAATTGCTCGGCTTTTGATAATTGTTCCAATATAGAAGATATAAAATGGGTCCAAAAATTAAACACGGATTACTTTCGCTCTAATTCTTTTGACAGCAGAGATGCTGTTGTCTACCTTCGTCCGAAAACCTGTGTTTTCGGGAACGGATGCGATTAGCATTATCATCTCTTTTTCAATGTCTCTAATAACTGCAGGTTCGTCATCAACATTACTTCTATTCACTGCAGACTTACAAAAGCTTACTGTCGATTAAACTTCGCTATTTACAGAAACAAATTTTGTTAAACTTTCAAGTATTTAAATGTTCTGCATTGTAACCTATGATACTTTGGGCTCGGACCTTATTCCATTTCATTTTCTAGATTAGATGTAAATAAAACTTTCTAAATTTAACTTTTGTTTGCTTTTCTCCAGTTCTATCTGAAAAGCTAATTCGTTAATTTGCATAGTTAGGTAGAAGATATGTAGTAGTGATATATGTGGTTAACGAAAGATTATTTGAGTAAGCTTTAAACTTATCTGTAGCAAGAACATAATTTTTCGACTCATTTCGTCGTCTAGCTCTTTTATCCGTTCTGAATGATTCTTTCCTCTCAGCAATGAATTCCTACCTACTCTGTGAACTACAAAAAAATATTTTCTGTCTTTAACACAACGTGGTTTGTTAAATCATGGTATTTTAAGGAAACTGAAGATGGGTAGCTTTTCGCTTTTTTTACTTACTTTTCTTACTTAGATAAGCGTACTTTTATGTTATCATCTAGGCTTATCCCAACATAATGCTTAGCAATCTTAGAAGTTTCTCTATTGATACTGTGTAATCTTTTAAGGCGTCTAACAACTTTCTAAACGGTAATTTTGATGACATTAAAAAAATTAACTGCTCTGCTTTTAAACTTACACTTTTGGCTTTCCAAAAGTAGTACTTCTGGTTTCTTTGCTTCGGTGATTTTAAACAGAGTTATACCTGTTCTTGTTTAACGCCATGAGCCCAGGATTAAACAGTACATTTCTATGAGCCGGAGATGCTGTGCTGCTGACCGTGAACCGGAAATTTTAAAATTATGTTTTAAAATTATGTTAAAATTATGTTTAAAGGGACGCACATAACTAAATACATTCAAACTGAGAATGCTTCATTTGAACAATTTTGGTGATGTTCAAAAGATATTTTTGAAATTTTCTATTTGTTAGTAGTGCTCGCGAATAAGATTAGTTTCACAATTTCAGTTTCATATTCGGCTACATTTTCTTTCTATTCTGTTTTGTTTACATTACATTAAATGCTTTGAAATTTTTTTTTTTTTTTTTTTTCATCTCTTCTTTTTTGAAACAAAATTGTTTTAAAATATAGTAATTTTACCAAACTTCCCACAAATGGTCTATAAAATAATGTGAATTAAATTGGGTAAAAGCTTAGATTTATGAACATATTTAATACCTTTGCAAACAAATTTGCAAAAATTTTAATAAGAGAAACATTTTTCAAAAATAGCTAGTGCAAGTACTCAAATAGGTATATTTAGGAGACATTTTAATTTGTTACATCGATTTTTGTCCTTTTAAATCCTTATGCCTTAATAAATGTAAGTCGAAAAGAAAGTAGAGTATTTATAATTTTTTTGGGAACATATATAGTGATCTGAAATTTTAATACATTTTTAACCAAACTACGAGGATAAAATAAAACATTTTGCTTTGATAGTACATTTATCCCTTGTTTTTGTCATTCTAAGCAGCATTCTGCTAAATAGTACCAATAAAATATCTATCTTTAATATTTCCCAAAATTTGTGTGTCGAATGTTGTCGGATGCCTTAAAAGCCAAACCGTCTTGCGAAATTCATAATTCTGTATAATAAATGTTGTAAATACTTTCAGCAGAGAAATATATACCTATTTGAGTACTTGCACTAGCTATTTTTGAAAAATGTTTGTCTTCTTAAAATTTTTGCATTGCAAAGGTATTAAATATGTTCATAAATCTAAGCTTTTACTCAACTTAATCCCCATTATTTTATAGACCATTTGTGGGAAGTTTGTTAAAATTACTATAGTAATATTTTAAAACAATTTTGTTTCAAAACAGAAGAGATGAAAAAAAACAAAAGCCCTGGCAGGTTTTTGATCACTTATCAGTGCTTCATTGTCCATTGCAGCCAGACTTGGAAACTATGTCATGGCAATCTTTCGCATCGTACAGCTGTTAGTAATTCGCGTTGAAATCCTTTGTACTCATTGCAAGTTAATTTATAATGCACGAGGCAGGTGGCACGTGGCAAGCAAATCTTGAGAGAGAACAGAACTGACAAGGGATTCACACTATAGGATTCTAGGATTATGCCGAGCCATTTTATAGCGTCATGAAATGAACGTACTGCTAAAACTTGAGAACCAATGAAGCCGTATAGGACAGTTCGTAAGGCACTATCACATGCCGTAGAACAATAAAGAAGGAATCGTTACAAATTTACAAGCAAAATGTTCAAATTATGCTTTGAATGTTAGAAACCATAATAAAGGTATTTTCGAATGACTTTTATCAAAATTATGTCAAATGAAGAGAACAAAATATAAAATAACCCGTGAAGTAGGAAAGAAAAGCAAACGCTGGGAAATCGTAATGGCAGCAACTGCTCATTAATTATGCAAATGAAATTTGCTGTTATACAAAAAGAGGAAACTCATGATAGAAGTCGTGAGTGTGTCATCAGTGTGATCGACACTCATGGTAGAAGTCATCAGACTCGAATCATTTAAAATCTACCAATTTCTTACAAATAAGCTTACATATTTACACAAGCCTATAGAATTATTAAGGTGTAAAGTTGCGCGCTTCCAACCCGCATGCAACAATAGTGGTGAATGCTGAGAACTGGAAAGGAGACCAAAGTCTTGAGAAGGGTTTAAATCCCTTTTCATTCAACTTTAGAAATTACCAATGCGTGCTCTTGACGCTCACAAACTACGCCGACCCGGCGGTAAAATAAAAATAAGAAACTAAGAAAAGAATAGTAACAAGAGACTAACTACGAGGCTCTCTAAAAGTAACTAACCTCACCGCGTTCTAAAATACCGCTGATAATTCAGCAACTTCTGAATATTACCTTGAACGATTAACAAACTGCCGAGGCAAGCACACAGGCCGAAACGCGTGGTTCTTCAATTTCTAACTAGCCACCTCCACGCTCGTGAAGCAAGAAAGCTCCTTCGAACTCGTTTCCCTTCTATTTAACTCAGAATACTTCCGTTGACAATTTGAATCCTTGCGCGTTCTACTAAAATTTACATACTCTGGCATTGGCAATTCCAGGAGAAAGTAAGGCTTAACAAGAAAGATAGTTTAAACTTAAAATAAATGTTAGTTAAAATAAATATAAACCCTACAAAGGAATATAAATATTACGCATTGTCGAATATACTTTCTCGGTTAGATAAATAAGCACTTAACTGTAGCAATAATAAGAACATTATTAGAGAACTTTTAGAGAGCTGCTGTCATAGGGAACTTTTGAAATAAAACCTAAACTCTTTTCTTTGTTTTAGGAAGTGAAACAATGCTTATGTTCCATATAATCAACCAGGTTTTTTTTGGCTATATAATGAGTCAACTGTTTCATTATGTTTTTTAAATATACTTTTTGAGAAGAATAATGATTTATGTATGTTTTCTAAATCACAAACTTTCGTTTGTCTGCTCAACGAAATACATTTTACCCCATTTTGGTAGACAATACTTCACATTTCAAGTTACTGATTTAGAAAAAAAAATATGGAAAATTATATTGGTGTAATACAACGATGAAATTCATCAATTGATTTTTTATTATAAGATAATCCTTCCAATCTTAGATTCAGAACTAATATTTTCTATGTGATATTAATTAATCTGATGTTACAACAGAGCCTCCTGAATTCGTGACCAACATGACCGACAGAAACGTGACTGTGATGGAGAATTCGAATACGACTCTTTTCTGCAAAGCTACCGGAAATCCGCCACCAGTCATTAAATGGAAAAGAGAAGACGAACAGCCTTTTCTCGTAGGACACGATCTAAGTATGAAATTTATCTTAGTATACTTAGTACAATACTATTTCCTTTAATATTATGCAAATCAAATCTCGTATCCACTTGTAAAGCAAAATGCAAATTATGTTATATTCTAATAGAGTATGTATTGTATTAAAAAAAAAGTCTTAAGCAAATTTTTGAAATTATTAATTTTCTTGTGTAGTTTGTTGAACAGATGGACTGATTAATATCGGATTACTGAGTTAAGAACTTAATTCAATGTTCTAAAGGTAATCAGTGACGGCCATGTCATTTATTTCGCTGGAAATGTAAATTAAGAAATTTAAAGACTTGTAAAATACTTACTTGTAAAATAATATTTTTTCATATAATCATTTCGAAAAAAATTTTAAAACATTTTGTTACTTAGAAAGGAAAATTTATTTTAGAAAACTAAACCACCTTTAGAAATAAAAAAAAAAAAAAAAAAAAAAAAAAAAAAAAAATTATTTTATCCTCATTGTTTTATTTATATCTGAAGGTAAATGAGCAACACAAATGACATTTTACGTTAATTAATGCAGTTATTATTTGGGTTTTACTTTCATTTCTACTTTCGTCAACTTCAACCAGAATACACAAAGCCTAAATAAGCTCCGAGTTCCTAAATGTGGAGAGAGCTCTTAGCATAGGAGACAGCCCTCATAAGCTGGCTGGAAGTCTATTTTTAGCTTCTCTGCTGTTGCATTTAACTAATCAATATGAGATTCTTCCATCGAGCTTTGCTTGGTAAACAATTCGGGGCCAAAAAAACGTTTAGTTTTTCCCTTTCAATTCAATTTAATTTAAATATGTATTGTGGTTACCGGCAAGTAAGTGAAATTCTGTTTCTTTTAAGCTTTTGTTTTATATAATCACCAGCTTGAAGAGTAAATAAACAGGTTTTATTTTAAAACTTGAGTTCTGCTGATTTCACTAAGAAGGCAGTCAAGACCATAAATCATTTGGCAATGTGCACTATTATTTTGAGTGATAGGTAATTTAAGGGTAAAGTAAAGTAATATAATAAGATATAAGAAAATATTGAATTGCAATAACAATACAAAACTTATTTAAACATAATTTATTTAAACACTATGAAATTTATGAAAAAAATGTATACTTGAAGATCTGTTAAAAAACTATTCTAATAGCAAAGCTCTATCTGTGGCTCCCTGGGAATAGGTTGCTGCCTGTATTATGGGATTTTGTTTAGAGTAGTTAATTTGAGATTAGATTTGCTTCTCATTTGAAAGGAAAAATATCTAAAAATGTTTTTAAACAATTTATAAATATTAAAAATATTTTCATTTCATAAATATATATTTGTAACTCTGCCAAACGATACTTATTTGTAATACGCAATGCATGCAGTGCATATTATAATTTTATGTCGATGTTGAAGAATACATTTTGTCTGTTTTATTTAAACTATTTTAAAATCTGAAGTATAAAGTAAATATATCAAATTTAGTATATAGAATATAGAAATGTATGTACAAAATTTCACCAACATAACTCAGTTATTTCTACAAGTTTATTTAAATTAAAATCTGTTTAAATTTTGGTCATATTTTAACAGGCTAAAAACGGTTCCCTCTGAATATTTTAAATTGTGGCTTTAAAATGTAAATTACAATTGAAATCTGTTTAATTTTTTTATCCTATTTTAGAAAGTTAAAAGAACCTTATCCCTCAACATCTTGGGATGTAAAATATGCTATTTCATGAAAAGACGACAGTCGGTTCTTCAGGTTCAGTCTTTGGCCCAATCTTAGCATATCTTTACTAAGTAAAAAAATTCAACTTCGATGGAATGAAGCTTTTTAAAGCAAATTAGAATTTACTTTCACTAGTAAATTTTATTTTTATCTAGAATTTTTGGTTTAAAATTTGATAATAGATGGCAGCACTATAAACGAAACGCCAGGATTTTAATGAGTTCATATTCAAGTTTTGAAACGCTACCAATAGATGGCAGCACTACAAAATGATAGATCTTCAGTAAGGATCTGCAGATAATACATTTTTTTTCAAATGTCGGCATATTTTTTTTTTTATTTTTTATTTTACGTCTTTTTGTCAGCAGATAAAGTTTGGTTATTAAATGGGCTTATTAGTATGTTTTCTTAGTTCACATGCAACTAACAAAAAACTTAGTAAATTTTTAATATGAAAGGTAAATATTTACTTTCTTACGTAGTTTTTGTGTTACATGAATTATTTGTCGTGGTTAGTAAATAGATATTAAAAGGTATGCTATTTAAGAAATACATCTGAAATTTCATTCATTACTAAAAAAAAAGAATTAAATGTTAATTTGTGATGAGTAAAAATTCTAAAGAAAACTGATATGCTCTCCTTTTTGTTCCAGTTTAACTAAACTGAATATTAGTTCAATCTCTATTATTAGCATTAAAACTTTCTTGAAAAACATCATGTGTTTAATGTGAAAAAAAAAAATAAAATTCTCTTTTGCTCATGTAATATGCTCAAATGTTAAGAAAATTTGCATTAGCTATTAAGGTGTTTCTGGATTTATGTAAAAATTAAATTAAAACAATATGAAAACATTTGACAATATACTTCTGTCAAAAATCTCACAGAAGCATTAACTTCTTATAAAATCGGGAAACTATTTTGATAATAATAATAGGTTATTTTTAAAAATGATAATAGTAATAACCCTTCCACTATTTGTCTCTGACGAGATATTAATTGCTACAAAAAATTAAATTCATAACATATTATTCTTCGATTCAGAAATTGTTGGAATAATTAATGTTTTCTTACAATTGCATTTTTTGTACTACTACATGAATATATATTTTAAAATAAAAACTAATACATGTGCTCGTAAAATGGAATATAAAAATATATATTTAAGTAATACATAAATAATAAATATGTTTAACATTAAATAAATATAAATTTTACATCAGAATATTAAAAATTCTATCTTCTTTTCAACTAAACTGCTTTCGGAAGCTAATAATTTTTCGAGACACAAGTAAATTGTTGAAATATTTAGTAAATTGCAATTAAGGAAAACATGCAATAAAGGAGAAAAGACTTCAGAAATTATTAATAACTATGTAAATGCATGTTCTTGAATTAATCTAGCAAAGACTTTGTAAGCTTAAAAGTTAAAAATCACATATTTCAGTTTAAAAACAAATAGTTTCTGTAAAGTATTTCTATAAACGAAAAAATAGTTTCTATAAAAACAGTTAAACTTCCTGAAATTGGGATTAATTTCCTCAACATAAATAAATAATATAATATGAGTAATTCGTAATATCTTTCAGATATTCCCTCGGTTACAATTAACGAAAAAAATGCAGATAAGTTGAGAAGGTTATTTCAAGAAGAGATAAAGAGTATACGTAAAAACTGCATTCTCACAACATCACTTACACTACAATGATCTGAACAACCTGCTTTTTTTTTACTTTGTTGTGCGATGTAAACGAAGTATTGTAATCTCGAAAAATTTGGGGTATCGTATTTCAACAAAAATACCCATTTTGAGACACCTCTCGTATCCATTTCAAGGATGTTTCAAGCGTGAAATCTCTACGTATGGAGAGACTAGAAGACGCTTTTCTACAAAACGGATTGTAAAAGGGATTTAAAATGGATTCAGAAGATATTTTGTTTTGGTGATATCTCTATGTAGGGACATATGCATGTATCTCGTAAATCTCAAAAAAGAGTGATCACAGAACTTTGAAACGTTGTGTATGGGACTGCTGTAACATGTAATTGCGCATCTCCCTTTTTGATTGCAATCGGATGCACCAAATGTATATATATATATATTTTATTTGCTTGCTAACGAAATATTGATTATATTAGCTTCTAATATAAATTTAGTAGCATATATCTTGTTTTCGATTTCAATGAATTTCAGTTCATTCAATATATATATATATGTGTGTGTGTTCTACTCTCTGCCCTATTCCGCGAGCTCAGTATTTTTATTCTTTTATTCTTATAATTGGTAAGTTGGGCATTTTTTGCTTTAAAAGAGATTGAAACATGGTGTTCCTATGTTCCGATTCATATTTTTATATTTTTAGTTAATTTGTATGCAATATTAAGTGAGGCTAAGCCTAATAAGGCTGCTATTTGTTTACATTTGATATTCTTAGCAGAATAGTAAATTAAGTCAGTTTATGCACCAACCTCAGTTTCCTTTTGCCCAATGGAACGAAAAGTTTGCTTTCAGTTTTGTACACCGAAAAATCTGTCTTCATGCACGCTGGCCGAATTGCTTGTTTTACGTAGGAACTCTAATTTAAATTTTAAAAATTATTTTAACTGCATTTTGTGTTTTACATTTTACGATTTTTAATGAAAATTGAGCTTTTGCGTATTTTTGTCTCTTGCCACGAAGTGACAACGAAATTAATTGAATGAGATATATATCTCTAACAAAATTCGAGGAATTACATTTGAATAAAGGCAATCAAAAACGCGTATAATTTAATAGGCCGTGCAAAGAAGTTGTAGAGACATTAGTTTATTTTGAATGCTGGAGATGTGAAAAATGAGTATTGTCTCTACTGTGGCGACCGATATAAAAGGTGGAGGATCAGGAATTTTCATCACAAGGATTTTGCGATTGGGTCCCCTAATCTTTTTTTTTTTTTTTTTTTTTTTTTTCAATAAGACAGCTTCTGGATCATTATCGTTCAGTGGCAAGGACCTTTGTATGAGAATCTAGGTGAAAATGTTTTTCGAAGCTAATGACAGTTGATAAATCTGAGTTGATAGAACATATTGGATGAGGGGACGGAACATCTCTTCTGCAGCCACAATAGTTTTCAAATTTGATAAGACGGTTATTGACTTCTCGAGCTTTAACGCACATTCTCCAAACACTTCACCACCATATCGCCGACAGTGTGGCTTTGCTTGATCATGATACGTAGGCATGCATGTGGAATAAAAAAGCTCATGAATGACCACAGTACTAACAACGATGGAAGCGTTAAGCATTT